GCACGAGATTTCAAGAATGCGGCTACGAGGATTAAGGAGTTCCACGACGACAACCCAACAGCTCCGGGACCGCCGGTAAGATTACAGGCATGGCTTCAGGCGGCAGCGGAAGACAAGTTCTTGGAGGACGACGACGATGACGATAGCCCGGCATAACAAGGAGTGAGATGAAGATCGCCACGGGCGCGGAGGAAGTGGGCTTGGTGTTATAGTCGTTTATTGATGAGAGGTCGTCGGTTCGAGTCGGTGTGCGCGCACCAGAATTCTTTTTTTTTTTTTTTTACTCGAAGCGAGTCTTTTTTTTGAAAGAGGGGGGGGGGGTTGATGTGACGGCGCGGCTCAACCGCTGGTCAGCATTGCTCTTATGGCTGCATGGTTCTTGGCAGTGCACAGTATGTCCCTTGCGCCGCAGCGATTCTTTGTATTCTAGTTCTTCTTTTTCCTCATCTTCATTCAATAGTAGGGTCATTGTCGCTTTGTCGCATTCCTTCTTGGACTCGTGGGCACAAGAAGTGTGTTGATTGTGTTAAGCTCAGGAGACAAGAAAGGAAAAGAAATGTGGAGGGCTAAATACAATGGTGGTGTGAGCTCATGGACCCACATAACAAGGCCAGTAAATGGCAGGGGTGGGACAGGCTCCACCACAACCTTCCTTCCCTCTATTCGCTGTGACACTTAGTAAAACCCCCTAAATTTCCTACTTTAAAGCGGAGTAAAAGAATACCCAAAAAGTTAACAATTACTAAAATAAAACGAATATCTTTGCAAACTGCTCTTTTCTAACAGTGAACATCTTCATAAATTGTTTACCAAACCAAATCAAACTACTAAATAACGGACCGACAATTACTACTTATGAAAAAATTACGAAGGAGAATATAATAGATATTTTTTCGAAAATAGCGCCGAACAAAGTTCTAAAACTAAATTAATGTTCGAACAGATTTCGAAAAGTATATAGCGAACTATTCTAATAAACAATAGCAACCCTCGCTATAGCAAACCTCTAATTCGAATACTTCTTTAAATAGTTTAAGATAGTTAAAGTTATTATTCTTAAAAAGAAGCTCGGAAAGATAGTCGCTTAGTAGAAATTAGCAAGCGTATAGAAGGGGATTTTACTTTTAAATAACGTTGAAAAGATTTTCGAAGGTTCAATAACTAAAGGATTCATAGAAGCGGCAGAAGAATATAATTTACACCCCGAAGGCTAGATAGGAACCTAGCAGAAATATTCTTTAGAATTTATAATTAAAGTAGTTATTAATACCGTTTATATTATTGAGAAATTGAAAGTTATAGCATTCTTCATGTTGTTAATTTTAAAGTGTATTTAACAGAATAAATTACAAATAATTTATCTATACTCTATAGGAAATGCCACTCTTAAATCAACCATTAATCTAAATGGGGGAGACCTAACGTGGCCGACAAACATCGAACAACTCTACGACGAATTCGAGACAGGGGCGGGGGCGGAACGAATCCTTCGCTGGGCTTTGCGACTGGGACGACTGCAGGAGTACAAGCTGGCAGTGAAGATTGAACAAGCGAAGGAAGCAGAAGAGCTACTAGGGAATTCAGATGGATCTTTCATTCTGAAGAGCGGGAGTACGGTCGGGGGACCATGCAGCGGAATCAAAGATCGGGCCTCGGGAATGATGGTGAGGTCATACCGAGAGGAAGATAAACATCGAAGGCACGGCGTTGACACGGCGACGTTGTAATAGAGAAGCGGAGGGTTTTCATCCGGTTACGGTAGAACGGAAGCAGTACTGCATACCCACTAGGTAGACTATGTAAATAGCTTAGCGTGATAAGACAATATATATAATATATACATTATTCTGAACGGATAAGTTGGTTAACAGGTATTAAATATTACTTTGTTTTAGTAACGAAATTTCAATACTGTATGATATTATAATAAGAATATTCCAAGGTCCCCTCCTTTTCCCCATCTTTTCATTCTTTTTATTACATTTTTATATTATAGATTCATGATGATTCGTAATATAATTATAATTAGCTTTGCTAATGAAACTAATACTGTGGCCGTTATGAGCACAATGGAAGCGAATTCTGAAATATTTTGAATAATATAACATATTCATTTAAAATAGGCGCAAGAACCAAAAATATAATTCCAAGCGAATAAAAAGGAACTAAAATAGTTTACGATATTAAAGTAATTATAGAAGGAAACCCCTCAAATAAGTAGTATGACCCTTCATTATACAGAATTAATGCAATTTTTTTCAGAATTTAATTAACTTAGAACTTAAATTACAAGACGTACCGCAAAGTTCTAAAGCATATATATTTTGTCTTATCACGCTAGAACTATTTATATAGTTTACCCAATGGGTAAGCGGTGCTGCTTCCTTTCTTAGTCTAAGGGAAAAACCGTGTTGTTGAATACTGGATGAAAACCTTCAGCTTGTCACAGGTTGACATTGGCTATATAGTGTGCATTCCAAGTTCTGCCTTGCAAGCAGAACATCGTCCTATCTTTTGTAGGTTTGGCCGTCTGGGCATATGCACCCTAGCCTGTTATACAGCTTCTCCATTTCCAACCGTAACCCTAAATCCGAACGTTCATCCCGTCTCACCATGGGAGCCCGAGGAGCCGTGGTTGCTTCGATGTTTGTCGTCCGTTCTTATCGTTATCTCCTTTTGCCCCAGTGAACTTTGTTACTTCTGATGGGCTGGTATACTGAGACCCCGCCCCCCTCCCACCCTACGCTTCGGTTGCCTCGAGTATGCGCCGGGTGATTTTTCTTTCATCCTATCTTCAGGGTTCAGGGGTGGAGGAGGAGGGGTCTTACTTGTGGCACTGAAATTCTCCGCCGAGTGGCCGGTCGGCATTAATTAAAGTAGGTTTATTGTTTAAGGGTTTTTTTCTCTGTCATAGTATATTGCTTGATTCTTTCGCGGTAGAAATTAGGTCGAATTCTTCACAAGCTTTGCGGTAGATCATTAGGTTCCCGTCTCTTGCTTTTGCTGAGTATTTATTCTACTATAGTATACTCTTTAGTTTCCTTCGGAGCGTAATGGAGTATTCTTTAATTGCACCTTCGAATGTATCTATAAAGGACTATATAAATTCTTCGAAGCTTTCTAGGGCTTGTGGGGTTTAGGTAATCTTCGGAAGTCTTGTTGTGGTGCAGTCTGTCCCACCTCTGCCATTCACTAGCCTTGTTATGTGGGTCCATGAGCTCACACCACCATTGTATTTAGCCCTCCACATTTCTTTTCCTTTCTTGTCTCCTGAGCTTAACACAATCAACACACTTCTTGTGCCCACGAGTCCAAGCAGTCTTCGTATTAGTGCTTATTACGCTTCATCCATATATATAGGCGGGAGAATATATTTCTTTTAAGGTGGGAGGGTTGTATTGGCCTGAATCGTGATAATAAACTTACGGTAGTCCGAAACCCATACGCTTACTCTCATATATGCCCTCTCTGTACCAAATACGAACTCTAAGGTAGAGTAGCCGTTCGTCTGTCTGTGGGTGGGGATGCTTAGTGTATTGAGGAGGTTGAGGCCCTATAATGCTATAAGTTCTTCGATTTCGTCACTTCTTCCCGAATTCCGGAATTGGGAGTCGTATGATGAGTGGTGTGCGTTGAAGTTTCCTACTATGAGGGCGTATTGTATTTGGAGTGTCGATAGGTGATTTTTGGCCGACTCCGCTTCTTTATCTTGTGGGTGCTAGTATACATACGTGATATTGGCGCCGTTTGCCGATGTTGTAGTAGTGTATATTTGTAGGCTAAGTAGCATTAGAAAATTGTGTATCTTAGCCATGTATATTGCCGTTCTTATTTCTCGGTTATCGCCGTCGATTGTATAGTAGCCAGGGTATTTATGGATCTTACTTTGGGTTGTAGCTACTTCTTATATACAAATTACCAGGGTCCGGCCGAACGTGGCAGAAGCGTGGCAGAAGACACGCCGAAGGCCTTCGGCACAAGCTACGCAACATTTCTCCCAAGGATTCAAGCCCTCAAGGACGAGGGATACACACACGTCCAGGTATTACCAGGGAATAAGAGTGGCGAGAGCGGAAACCCCCGACCCGGACGACGAGCCACTGCCATTCGCAGAGGTGCTTGGTCTCCCGGGGTCAGGAGGCCTGGAATAAAAGTGGAAACACACAGAAAGGATTAGGGTTTTTCCAGCCCACGGCCACGCGAGGGCCTGACCTAAGAAGCTTTTTTTTCCCGCACTTATGTACCTATGCCCAGCCGCCGTCGCGGGCACGACTTATTATCTAGTATTGGTAGAACGTAGTCGAAAAATTCATTCATTTATTCATACATACCCCCCTACACTCTTCTTCATAATGGGAACACTCGCAGTTAGATGCAGCGTACTAGTCACTTGTATCAAGCGTGTATATAGGACGGTGACGGAAAGGAGCCACTTCTGGTACATTACGTTCCTAATTTCAAAATCTCCTGCGCACAAAGTCTGCAAAACGCCTTCCTTACCTCGCTAATGTTACCTCCGCCATAGCTACGGGAAAATTCTGACACTTTACGGCGTAGATTAGGTAAATCTAGCTATGAAGGCCGTCGTCGATTGTGGCAGCAATAGTCGGTCAGCTGTCAACCCGTCTCTTTATCTTTGGGTAAATCAATGCCTCTTGCTCAGGAGTTTTGACCATGGCTGTTGCCGCGAACATGATGCTGTCATGGGTGTGCCGCTCAACCCGCATTATGTTTCCTCTTGCTGCTTGGGAATGCTCCGCCAACAGGGTCGGCAACGGTTGGTAAGCGCACTGAGTAATGGCATCATTTTTGAAGCAAATCGTAAGCCATGCGGTACTAGATGCAGGTGAGAGTGCAACTCGCATAATAGTCAGAATCGGACGCGGCCTCAGTTGTCCTGGGCTCTGTGGTCGAAAAGAGGAACTCACTAGCAATCATGCATAAGAAATCGCCATCTCAGATCTCACAGTAGCCAATGTGCTTCTCTGGAAGAAAGTTACCACTAGCAGGGCAAGCGACTTCTCGTAGGCAGACGCAATCTTCACGTCGGCCATCTGCGCATTGACTGATCCGACGACAACATCCTTGAAGTTTGGATGATAGATAGACATAACTAGAAGGTCGTTGTCCGGACCTTTGTACACTCTGTGGTATTGAAGGTCCACTGAGGCTTTCATGACACCTGGCTAGAACCTGCTTTGGATAGAGCATCACGCTACCCCAGAGACGGTTAAATTTGATGGCAGATATATGAAAATTGGTGATGATACCGGTTTGCTCTGGACCTGCACCGCTGAGGACGCGGAAGAAATCAGCGTATTCGTCCTTGTCAGCGGTGATGATGCATCTATTAGCGAAGACAGCGCTATACGAGATTATATGATTTTATGCAAATCCTTGACGGGCCTGAAGCAGGTGTTACTACCGCCCAAGAGTTGTTTACCAACCCTCATGTTTCTATCTCGGTCTCCTGCAATCGCTCGTCCGTACTTCTGTAGCTTGGAATAGACCTCTCTAAGCATTAAAAACTTTTCACACAATAGCAACATCTCTTTCACTAGGCCGAGGAAAGAAAATAACAAGGGCATTGGAGCCGTTGCCAGACCCCTAACATGAGTTGAACCTTTTATCCAAGAAGTCGTCATGCACAAGAAGAGGAAGGTACGAAGAGACGCGAGGAAGCATAAGCGTGGGGTGTTCAGGTGGAACTGAAAAAGTAAATACCGAGTGCTCCTGCCTTTAAAGGAGATATGTGTTTGCTGTACCTTCCTAGTATCGCAACAATGTCTACGCAGTTTGCGCGGAATGTGGAGAATGGGCAACATAATCGTTTGTTCAAATCAACCATGTATCACTGGAGATTGCAGCTGGTATACAAAATCTCTGCGACGGTGAGTGGATGCGAGCCGCGCCGTGACCCGTGGATTTGTTAGGTTTCAGGCTCGGCCGTCTCGCTGATATGTACCTTTCAACACGGACTCTGATATATCAGCATACTGTTAAGCTGCTAGGTGATCATCTGCTGAGTTTCCGTTTCAATGGAAGGTTCTGGCAAATGTGAGGCTGAACAAAGTACGAAAAGTCCATACATCATAGGGAAACATGGGTTTCGTTGGTTATTTGACTTGTGCAAAACACTTAGTTCTCCACAACAGCATTGCGACTACCCAGACAATATAGAAACGGGATATGAGAGTGAGGAGAGGACACGTAGAAGCTCCAGCAAGCCAATATATCCGATATTGACCACGATGTGCCGAATACTTGTCTGGGATAGAGCGCAACTTCCGGCAATTAGGCTATAATCGGGAGACCAAGATGTCATCACCAGCGGCTCGACGGTGTCATTGTAGGTTTACGCAATGACTCCGAGACCTTCGGCTTTTGGTTACGTTGCTAATGTTGAAACGTATATCATAAACCCTCAACCTCCCATAGGTGCTGACATTGCTCCTCTTCGCAAGCTGCATCGAAAGACTAGCCTTTCTAATCACGTCACCTTCTCCATCTTTGAGAAGATTTTCTTCACCGAGATGAAGGCCAGCCGGATTTTTGTAGCCCTCATCATCCCGCCTGCCGCGCTCGCAGCCATAAACTGGGATATATACGAATACGGCGTAGTAGACACCTTCAAATGGTCTCGCCCATTTCCCGACGACGGCACCGACCCGGGTGGGTTTCACGTCAACTGTCGAGCCGAGGGCACCTTTCATGCCAAGATGTACAAACTCAGCGATCTCCCAGCAGAACCACCGGGGGGATTGTCTCCGTGGCATGATGCGATTGAGGACTTCCTTGGTCGTCGGTCTTACATGGGCAGCTGGGATGGGGTTGACCACAAGGGACACGACCGTGAAATTGTGGTAATGGAGTATGCTGATGTGCCGAGGCCGGTGGTAGAGTGGATAGAGGACCAGCAGCGAGATACCAGCGAAACGAATGATAGGAAGTGGATGTTTGCTGTATTCAGGAAACAGGGGAATGAGACTGATCAAGTGACTGGAACCGTGGAGCTTGCCCCGACGGGAGAGGCAGCGGATACTCATAAGGCTCCGCCGATTCCCGCTAAGAACAAGATCGTGGTGTTTCCAGCTGGTGCGATATACGAAATACTGCCTCTCTGGGTTTCAAAAGGCAGCAAATGCGAGCGTGAGTGCCCTGTGTTTCAACCAAGGAGATGCGAAACTTCGTAATCGTGCTAACTCCAGAGCTGTAGGCGAACTAAGCAATCTCGCCAAGTACAAGCCCCAAGCCATTGACCACTCGGTTCTGGCTTGGGTTATGGACCACACAAAGCCCAAGAGGGATCTCGGCAAACGAGACATAACATTCAAGATCGAGGCAATGGCTGTCACCGAGACAGAAGAGGGAAAACACACGCGATTGATGTGGGAAAGGATGCACCGAACCATCAGAAGAAATGAAAGGAGGATCCAAAGAGAAGAGCGACAAAAAGCGAGACAGGAGATACTGGAGGGAAGATTCAAGGACGAGCTTTGAGCGTTTGAACTGCAAGGGCAATCAATCTTTAGCATATAATGATACATATTATGGTGTGCTGTCATCAATCATATACTGAAGACAAAAGTCTATCCATTGACGGATGTTCTATACCTTCCAAAACCAACATGAACTCCAAAGCTATGCAAAAGAAGAAAAACAATTATTCGGACTCCCGTGCAGGGTTTGCCGACTCCAAGCCGGATGCAGCCGGCTCCTTCTTGGGCCCAATTCCGGCTTCCATCCGTTCCTCCAGGGTAAGTTCGCTTTCGGCCTTGCCAGGATCAACGAGGCAGTAGAGAAGCAGAGAGCAAGCGGCACAGGCCACTGCAAACCAAAAGGCCACCCTGTGGTTCTCGCCGTCAAACACGCCCTCACTTTCAGCAACGGCCAGATCGGCGAGACCCAGGAAAAAGCTGATGCCGATGAAGAGGAGACTGTTGATGAGAGCACCAGCAGTACCCTGCATGTGCGAAGGTACGTTGGTAGTAATAAAGACGTTGGACACAAGATATGTAATATCAACACCAATGGTGGCTCCAAGCATGGCGGGGAACACAAAGGCCCAATAGTTGCCATGGTCAGGGATAAGAGCAAAGAGAAGGACGCTGGCAAGACAACCGCATCCGGATATTATCAGTAGCACCCTACCTGGAAGCTTATGGAGGGTGAAGCCGCCGATCGTGGCTAGGACGATACCGCCGCCAGCCATGGGAGCAAACCATGTCGCCGTTTGGAGAGTGGAGGCACCCATAAACGCTTCGATACTAGGGAGCGGGTCAGCTCATGTACATTTCAGTTCATGGCAAAGGGGGACTTACTGTAAACTGGCATAAAACAAGAAAATGCCAAACACTCCGTAGGCGAAGAAAAGAGCAAGCGTGAACCTCTTCATGTACTTTGCGGCAAAGAGATCTCTTGGCAGCAGAGGCTGCTTAGCAACCCAGCCCTCGATATATATGGCAGCGCCGAGGAAGAGCATTCCGATAACAAACGTTATGGGAATGTAAGGGGTGCGCCAACCATTGGGAGCCGAGCCACCGGTGGTAATGGCAAAGGTGATGAGGATGATAGCCGGGACGATGGTGAACAAACCCAAGTAGTCCATCTTGGCACCACCACGGGCAGCAATAGCCTGATGTCTGTCATTGGGGATGGTGAAGTAAGCCATAAGACCAGTGACAAACAGGATGATGGTTCCAATATAGAACCACCAACGCCACGACAGATACTCGCCAGTGACACCACCCAGGATGATTCCGATGAAGAAGCCGAGTGGAGCAAATGCACTGTAGAGACTGAAGACGATATTCTTCCTCGGGCCGGGACGATAGGTCTTACCCAGCAGCATCAGACCAGTAGGCAGGAATGCCGCGGGTCCCAGACCGGCAAGAGCTCTCGTGACAATGAGCATCTGATAGTTCTGACTGAAGCCACCGATCAAGCACCAGATGCACATCCAGAGCAGGCCACCGGTGAAGATGAAGAAGGCTCCATACATATCGGCAAGGCGGCCGAATGGCAGGAGAAAGGAGCCGGTAATAAGAGAGAAGACGCTGGACGGCCATGTTTGGGAATCCTTGGGAATATCTAGCGCCTCGGCGAGACCAGGCAAAATGATATTGAAGCCAGAAACAAAGTATTCCTAGACAATGTGGAAAGTGTCAGTTTAGTGTGGTGACGAGCCGAGGTGGCAAACAAACTTACACTCATGAGCATAGAAATAAGGATAGAGCCGCAGAACATGAACTCTTCAAAGGTGCTGGAAAAGACAGCGGGCCGTTGGCGACCCAGGCGGTCGAGATCGAACTCGGTGATGGCGTCATCTTGGACGTCTTGCTGTGCTTGGGAAGGGTTTTCACTCTTGGACAACTCTGGATGTTGCTGTTGCTGTTGTTGGTCTGGTGTTTGCTGGCCCATCGTGCAGCAGAGTCCACGGCTTCAGGGCGTGACACTGTCGAGAATGGTAACAGTAATGTAGATGAACAGCGACGAGAACATGACAAAGGATGGGCGTTGACCTTCTTTTTCTATATGATAAAACTGTGCTAACGTACACATGGAGGTGCAGGGAAACAAAGTCACTCCTGGAGGTGGCGATGGAGAGCAAAACTTGTCTTCCGCTAACAGACCGCTGAGGAGGAGCGTCTCCACTTGGCTGCAAAATTTGGGGGTCATAGGGCCCAGGTGCCCCAGTCCAAGTGTTAGCCGGATACTTTCCAAAGCCCGGGAGGAATGCATGCAAGACGACATCTGCTACCGCTTGTCGCAGTCATCATTGTTCTAGAAAATAGTCAAAAACAAAAGGTTCCACAATCACCAGCCAGGTGGATTAACACTGCAGCAAGTACAACTTGGCATCCTCTTTGGTCTCCCCATGGTGATGGGAAGGCGTAGAGAAGGGTGCTATCTAGGATCCCTGGAGAAAAAAAAGCGAAACAGGCGGGAAAGGGTGGTTTCCATTTGTCATGGAAGTCCATGACGACGAGGGTGGCAGAAGGTTGAAGAAAAGTCGGCGGATTGTCGTTGTTAGCCGGTCGCAAGGCGGTGGCTTGATAAGATTCGCCATATTCGCCAGAGTGGTCAGCGTCAAAGTGAAGAAATCGGTGACGAGCTCGAGAATCTCTGGGCACCAGGCGGATTAGAATGGCGCTAATGCACCTGTTGCAATTCCCCTTCCGAATTGGGTTTAGCGTCTTATAAACCCAAGGGCGGCCAACGGAAGGTGGAGCAAGTCTTCAGGAGCCCGCGGTCCCGAGGCCCCCGTCATGGCCCGGACAGCAGCTGCCTCTACCGGACTCCAAATCGGACACTGGCAGGGAAAACATTGGAACCGGTCGGGAAGGCTGAAGCCCATCCGCCCCCCGATTGATAACTGTACACAGCCTAAGTACGTAACTGCCATGACTCTGAAGGATTCCACTTAGCACCTCTCTCACAGTCTCACTGAGGGCCTGGAACCTCTCCCAGCTAGCATCCCGTCTCCGATATCACAACCACCAAGACGCTACTACACGACGTGTACACTATCACCACCCATGGCCATCTACCCATTACCATACCGGCTTCAGTCATCCTATCTGCCTCTTCGGCCGCGGCTACTTGCTGCACGAATAATAAAGCTATCCTCCAGTCCCTGATCCTGACCCGGGCGGTGATCTCGTGCGCCGAGAAGAAGCCAAGTGCCTGTCCGTGCAGTCCCATCTTTGTCTCTACAGCTTCTTACAACCTGGAAGGCACTCTTGACGCAAGGCACGCAAACAACCTTCCCAAGACAGCAATCATGGTGACAGCAACAACCACCCTCGCCCTGCAAAAGGGCCACGCTAAGAAGACACCACCAAAGAAGCCTCACCAGCAAAGGGCTTCCAAGACAAAGGCATGCTACAACTGTCATCGGAAACGCCTTCGCTGTGACAAATCGCTGCCTTCCTGTCTCAAATGCTCCATCAACGGCGAGGAATGTCTTGGCTACGGCATCGTCCTGCGCTGGGCTGCCTGTAATTCACCCACCTCTACCACAACCACTAGGACTACTAACAAGACCAACACCAACACATCACGAACCGTCAAGTCACCCACGACAACTCAAGCTTCAAGACCGAGCAACCCTCCCCGAATCATTACCGATGTCACTAGTAACTATTCACCCCATAGCAGTATTAGTAATACCACAACCGCCAGCATCGCATCTCCAACTCTAACTGAAGCCGAAACCATCGACAACTTGACTGTGGAGACACCAATTGATAACTATGCCGACCTTCCACCACAAACACCAAATGATAACCACGAGACAAGCTCACAAATGATCAAAAGACCCATCAACTTCATCAAAATTCCATTAACAGACCCTATACTCAATGGCCTCTCATCCAAGGAAAAATGGTACATGCATCATTGTAAGTTTTACCTTACTCGTGATATGCACCTCCATATACATATTCAGACACTAACGCATTCTAGTCGCCACGATTGTTTGTCGAGACCTAGTCTCGATTGACCAGAAGGAACGGAATCCCTTTCGGGCCATCATCCCTTTGGTTCGCAAGTTTAACTACCTTCAGTCAGTCGTCCTAGCAACAGCAGCCATGCATCTTTCCACGCTTCACAAGTATCAGGGTCAAAGTTTGCCGTCGGAGACCGCCCTAGTCGATGCTTTGATGCTCAAGTCCCGGGCACTCCACCTTCTTCGCGCTGCCATCAGTGAGGACACCGTCACCGACAAGGCGATGATCCTCTCCGCCATCGTCTTCCTCGTCAACCTCGATCTCATCGACTCCGGCCGAGGAGGCTGGAAAGCCCATGTTGAAGCCGCCCGGCGTCTGATCTCATCGCTATACCTCACCAGGGCACACCTCGACGGGGCCATCGCCCCCTTGGTCAACGCCATTGCCGCCGACTGTCTTACCTATCGCATCTACGGCTCAACCATCAGCGGCAACACCTCGTCGTCTGATAATACGCTCGATGACGGGGTCGTGTTGCCGTACATTTTGCAGAATGCCGAGGCATACAGCTACCATTGCGCACCGCCGGCTATCCTTCAGATGATTCTGTCTGCTAGCCAACTATGCAGCGGCAGCTCCACGACATTGGAAACAGATGGAGGGGTGGAGAGGATTGCTACCGCGGCGGTGTTGCTTCACAAGGCACGTAATTTTGACGTGCAGACATGGGTGTACAACATCAACGGCCTGCCGCCAGATGACGACTTGGAAGCGCGGGTAAGCGTGGCGTCAGCACACCGCGCGGCAGCCTGCTTATTTGTCTTGTTGTCGGTTCCTGAGGCCGGATTGCTTGAGTTGCCTCTGCTAGAGCCGAAGGATCTAGTGCAAGAGATTCTTGGACACTTGTCCTGCATCCCAGAAGATCACGTCCACTTGAAAGGAACGGTGTGGCCGACTTTTATTGTTGGCGCGGAGACGAACGATTTGAATGAGCGGGCTTGGTGCCTGGAGCGGTTGGTGGCGGTTTGGACCAAGAATCCTTGGACCTATCCGTGGGGATATGTGCACACGGCGACGGAGATGTTGCAGGAGATTTGGAGGTCGAAGGATTTGGCGGCGCAGCAGGGTGACGATGGCATCAACTGGTTGCAGAGGTTGAAGGCGACTGGGAATAGTTGCTTGATTGTATAGCTGGGTATATATCGGTAAGGACCTCTGACAAATAAAGTTTCCATCAAATAAAAGAGCCAGGTGAACGAGGGAAATGAAAGAAGTGGGTGCAACTCAAGGACATGACCATATCAAGCCATCACCCTATATTATTTCCTCCGGCGCCTGTACTCCCCTCTTCCACTTGCCCTTGAATATCCATATCGATCCAAATCATCCTCAAACTCAACCGATCTCCTCGGCTTCCTCTCCCCATCCCTACTAGACCACCTTCCATCATCCCTATGCCTACGCACCCTTTCTCGTTCCCGGTCTCTCCTCCTTCCCTCTCTTTCACCCCACCCATCATCATCACTTCGTTCCTTCCCAACCTCACCTTCCTTCCCCTTTCCTTTCTCTTCCTTTCTACCCACCTTGCCAACCCCTCCATATGCACCACGGTCATCATCAATCTCAGGATGCAAGTTCCTGACATTATTGACTGCCATCTCCAAATTATCTATCGAAGCCCTGATTCCCTCTGCCCTCTTCGCCAACGCTTCGTGCACCTCGCAATTTTTATGCGACGGTGGTTTCGAGGTGAGTTCAGCCAAGGCTTCTGAAGTAGTCCGCAGTTCCTTCTTGAGTGAGTCGAGCGTTGCTGCTAGGCTTGTTGCTTCTGTCCCGGGGCCATCAATGGGAAGTGATCTGGATCTGGTGCCGGCTCCGATTCCAGTTCCAGTGTTGTTGTTGCTGGTAGCAGCCAGATAGTCGGCGTAGCTGGTGTATGGGTATTCTCCCGAAGGCCGTGGTCCTTGGGTCGCGGTGGTTGAGTACAAGGGAGGTTTGATCTTGTTCTTCTCCTCCTTCTCCTCCTTCTCCTTCTTCTTGCGTTGATGGAGAAAGTGACGGATGCCAAAGCCGAGGATGCCAACGGCTAGTTGACCCATTACGTCGTGGAGGTCGTTGCCATCACGGGTACCATCGCGGTCTCGGTCTCGGTCGCTGCGGTGACTAGCTCTGCTGCTGTCTCGTGCTCTGACTGCTGTGCCACGGTCTCGCTCGTTGGGCTGTTTGTCTTTGTGTGCCGATCTTGACCGAGGTTGTTGCCGTGATGTGCTGCCTTTCTCGGTCGAGTCTTGTCTGGTCAGACGCTTGAGAGAGTAGACCAAAGCAGCGCGGGCAATTTGTTGGATGATTTCCGGAGTCTCATTTTTGCTGCTGCCTTTTGTTGATGACCGCTTGAGGAACGACGGTTTACCCCTGGACCTTTGCGAGCGAGTGCCTGGCATGTTGGAGGTGATGTTGAAGCGAAACAGTAATGATCGAGTGTTATCTTATTGGATACAGTCTCGAAATAATTGAAAAGGAGCGGATATTTCCAAAGGGGCAAATGAGGTCGCAATTCAGTCTGCCTCTACATCTTGTAAGAAATAGACTGGTCCTCGAGCAAGAGGCCTCTTGTCAGAAGTGGTGGGATGAACGTGATAGTTGTTAGCTGCCTGCTCACGGGCTTGCGGTGCCGCACGTGTTGCTGATGGATGTATCACCTGGTAGTTGACTGTGATGACAACACTTGATGCTGAAATGCAAGAGAAACATCTATTTAAGACTAGAAACATGACTATATGAAGGTTAGAAGATCAAAGCATTGTCTTTGAGGGCAATTTTGAATTCATTTCTGGTTTCCTCCCCTACAATCCAGAACTCGGTTAGCTTGTGGTATCTACACCTGAGGGAAGATGCGATCTTGACTCACAATATGGAAAGTGTAATATCTCCTTTGATTTTTGCTTTTAGTTGCACGTCGACATCCAAATTCATATCGAGTCTGATGGCGGGAGCACCACTGCGACTGCCATTTGTTGTTGTTCCTTGGACTGATTGTTGCAGTTGTTGCAGTTGCTGCAGCTCTTGTTGCCGATATTGCTGGTTAACATTAGAGACGTTTCGGTCTGATGAGCTTCCAGGAGAGCTCTCAGAGGCGGTGTCGCGAGACCTGTGCTTAGTAGGTTTCTCGCGGTTACGTGATGTCGACATTGTGTTTTTTGAATAATGTGGTGGTGTGGCACATAGGGGTCACGATGGAATGTTATGTTGATATAGGGAAACGCCAAGAAAGGGTCTTACAGAATGTCCGACTGCTAGGGCTGATGAGTCAAGGATGGATGTGACTATATATCTGGCAGATATTTCAACTGGAGGGTGTGATCATCTAGGAAGTAGGGATTTATCAGATCGTCCCCGAAAACGGTCGGTTGACGCCCGGAGGCCCATGACATCATAACCTGACCCTGACAGCTGACAGTTTTCCATGCAGTTCACTGAGCAACGCCTGATGATCTCGAAGCCCGCCGAAAAGTCGGGACGCAATGTCCATGCTGAACGTACACTTGATCAACAAACTGGGTATCTTTGTATGCTTTTTGGTCACTCTTATTTTGTTTTCTTCCCCTTTCCGAACCTCACGACGAGCCGGTGGCAGCAGCCTTCTCCTTGGCCAGACGGCCCATCTTCTCGGCAGCGGCCCTCAAGCTGTTGGCATCGGCGCCCTGGATCATGATGGAACCGTTAACGGCGACCTGCTTGCCGTCCTTGAAGAAGAGGAAGGTGGGCATGGCGGAGACACGGTAGTGCTGGGCGACCTGCTGGACGCTGTCGACGTTGATCTTGGCAAAGGCGAGGAAGTTGGGAATGGAGAAGGTCTTCGCGAACTGGGCATACATGGGCGCAATGGCCTTGCAAGGCCCGCACCAGTCGGCGTAGAAGTCAGCGACGACGTACTGGGTCGTGTTGAGGAGAGTCGCAAACTCCTGGGCCGAGTTGATGTGCTTGACGCCGTCTGACATTGTGACGATGTTTTGTGTGTTCGGTCGAGGGAGAATCGATCGGTAAGTAGACGCTGTAACCTAAAGCTTTCACGGTCAACAAATGTAGGAGGTAGTTCCGGCGACGATGGATGATTACACATACCTTGGATATGTCGACCGTCGTAAATCACAAAGTTGCGGCGAGAGTTGGTGGCAGGCGTCGGCTTTCAACTTTGTTAGGGGACTACCATCACTAGAATCGCTGGACGCGACCGTGACCGTCAGCGCTGACTGTCATTGGCGGGGTAGAAGAAGGTGGAGTATCGGCGATTAGATAGACAGCTTCATTATTTTCCGGCACCCGACCTCCGACCTCCAACCCGGCTCCCTCCCGGCTTACTCCACACCTCCGATCAGGACACGAGCCGTGTCATACGCACAGGCTTGCCGCAATCTGCAGTCTCGATCCTTACCGATCCTGGAATGAGCAATCCTCTGTGTGTCATGGTCACCATTTATACGTCTTCATGTCCCTAGGGAGGCAGAAGAAGACGTTGAAATTCACAGCAAACCCCCTTTCCAGCATAGATTCAAAGTCGAGTGTACGCAAGCCCTACATCTCCCCGCCCAAGGAAGCCTGATCACGAGACTATGCAGGTGGAAAGAAAGACAATGCTTTTATTATTGTTGAGCGACCTCTATATGAACCTCAACTGGCAAAAAGCCACGAACCAAACAACTCGGTCAAGCCACTCAAACCACAGCATCAATTGCCTGCCAATACCATGAGGAATTCAACTTTTCCAGCTTGAATTAGTTCAAGGCCCAATGAAGATCAACCTCTCTGCCTTCCAACCAGTTCTCGATCTCCCCATACATCCGCTTCCACAATCCCTTGTCGTGCGGCGTAGGAAGGTTCATGTCGATTTTGTATCCCAGCTTGGCCTGCGCCATCGCAAGGTGCCGGTACCCCTCCGGATACGTGCTCAGCTCGAACTTGTCCCACTTCGGTACAGTCTGGCCATCGACTGGAACTACCTTGTCCTTCTCGTAGAAGAGCTTGACGTACTTGGCCTTCCACTCTTGGGTAGCCGCCTGCTTCTCACAAAAGAAGATAAAGCGGCAGTCGCAGTCGACATCGTATGCCACGCCGCCCTCGTTGAAGCGATGGGTGATGGTTGCCTTCATCTTTCCAACGGCCCGGGTACGGCTGTCGCCGAGTTCAGCCAGAGTGCCGCATTCACGGTGCATGATGAAGACGCCGTTCTTCTTGCCCTCCTTGGACACTTCGATGAATTTGTCAACAGGCAGGGCGCCGCTCCAGGCTGAGAGTTTGATATGTCAGCATATGGTTGACCTGCTGGCTACATTTAATCTTATGCGCAGGGAAGGTACGTACTTGTCCACACACAGGCATCATCTGTGAAAAGAGAGCGGTAGTTCCTCCACTCGGACGCGTCGCGGTACACAGGCCAGCCCTTGCAGAGCTCCGTGATGGCATATCGGTCAAGTACGTCTTGAGATGATCCGTTGATGTGGGACCAGGCTCTGGTATGAGGATCCGCCGGTGAAGTCATGATTGCTGGGCAAGCTGTTGGGAAAGGAAGAGTGGAAAAGGTTGCTGTGTTGAACTTGGGAACTGTAAGTTTCAATTGGCAGGTGCTACTGGAGACTTGAAGATGAACTGAACGCTGATGCGAGAAGATGGCTCCTTCTTATAGCCCAAGATGATGTACCAGACTTCCATTGCACTCGAGCATCTACCATGCCCGCCGCGTTGGTTCCACCTCCAGCGAATAGATTGTGAAGACAATCTCCGACCTTGTCCTTGGACTTCAACATATTACAATTACCCTGCGACGGTTATCGAGCGGTAAGCTGATGGGACGGAGGGGGCGATGGAGGCTATCCCGTTCTCATTTATCTCGCAATGGGTTCCTGCCTTGATCTGTAAGCTTCCTAGCTCGACTGATGGAGCCCGTTGGCTATCGAGGAAAGAACATTGGATGAAATGGCGGACAGTTGAAGCCTCGACCGCTTAGCTACCTTCCCATCAGCTAGGAACTGAAGTTGGCAACCGCCAACGGCCCAGTTACGTTACTGCAGTGGTGATGAGAACTTCGCTGCCGACCGATTGTGGTATTCGCACAAAACGAAAGGCATGGAGGAACCTAGGCGAGATGCATCCACATGTTCTGGTTTGACAGCTCTAAGCAAACACGGTGCGCTGCACCCAAGTCATCCGCTTGAACCCGTCGAAGCCCTCAAGTTGTAGCTCAGCTTGCTATCTTGGAGTCTTCCGTTTGAGGTTCGGGTCCGAAACCCGGACAAGCACAAAGCACGTTGCCATGGTCGAGTTTTGGGAATAATGCGGACGAGACAAATTGCGGTTCGTTGCTTCCGCTTGTTGAATAACTTACTCCATTTACGAGTTTGCTTGCTCGGAGCGGGACTCGACAAGCCGCTACACAACTACTACCGGCTGCCGACATGGTTGTTCCTGCCAATGCCGCGAGGACACACCGATATCATGAACTCGACGGGAAGGCTGCCCGTGAACTGTCATGATCCCTTTGTCGGACAAGACTTTCGGCCTCGAGTACGGTTGATTGTCCAGGAGCCTCAAGCCGTTTCCAACCTTGAGATGAAAGTCCAGACTACGTTCCTCACAGCAAGCGACCGACCCTCACTCCGATATCCGGAGCTAATCACCTGATTTTTCACTCTTGCGGTTGGAATAGTATTGATAACGAGCATGCGATGAAGGGAATGTACCATCTGGTCTTATGACAACGGCTTATCAACATTTCAGAGTCGGACCCCCGCCTCGTCAAGTTCAGGTCTACTGCGTATGCGCCCGTTTTGCCCATGAGAGCTACCTACTCGGAGACAAGACGAAGAGGTCCAAGAACACAAGTCAGTGGCATCGGTACAGATTGATAGATGGCATGTAACGCGGCTTTTCTTAACGAGGTTCGGGCGTGAGGTAGATATCAGCAAACGAAATTTATTCAACTGAACCCTTACTGATAGACGTGGTTTCTCAAGGACTGAAACCCCACTCATCTTCTTCACCACCCCATATTCAACCTACTTCGCTGCTCACAATCGTTGAGCCACTTCCCTTTCTCCTGTTGTGTTCGCCTTGCGCGCAGTTTACTCCAGTGGCTTCTGGGCGTACACGAGCTTCCACCTCCAGTAAGCATGGATGTTCTTGTCCTTAATCTCCTGGCGGAGATGAGATATATAGGCAGCCATCTCTTCTTGGGACCACCCCATAACATTACCGGCCACAAACTGGATGATGCCCTCGAGGTCTCCATCCATTCTGATCTGACTGTACAATTCAATTTCCTTCATCTTTGGATCCTGTGGCCAAGATGAAACTGGCATCTGTCATACAAGTCAGTCGCGCTCCCCTATAAGGCACCACTTGTAAGGAAACTCATCTCGAATTCCTTGACCGTCAAATTCACAAATCCAGCCTTCTTTAAACCGTTCTCTTGCAGATCATTATCTGCAACTGTTTGAGACAAACCAAGACGCCTTCCAGCCTCCTTAAATAGCTTGCTATATTGGTCCAAGGCGGACCCCTTGGCAATAGTCCCGTCATCGCAGCCCAGGATACATGTAGCGTCGATGTGTTCGAACCAACCACCGGGCTTACAAACCCTATAGGCTTGCTCATATAGGTGATCCCAGTCAGAGGTTGCACCGTTCAAGAAGCGGACGTGGATATAGTCGAAATGATCGGTCTTGAATGTCCACTCTTTGTTCGCATCGTCAATTTCGAAGCGAAAATTAGGCGGGCACCAAGTAGGCTGGACAGGCGAGATGTCGGTCCCTATAACCTCACAGTCGGGATGGTCGTCGGCAAAATCAATAGCCCAAAACCCCGAAGCGGTACCAATATCGACCGCATGCTTGGCGTCTTCTCCAATGGGAGCAAAAGTCAGTTTCCCGCCCAGCATAAGGTCCAGGGCATGGGTAAAGACTTCCAAAGCCTCGAGATGCTTGGTGTCATTGGGACCTCAGTACTCTCTTTCCGTTACCGAATCGCTATGGTAGGTACGGCCGTTGATAGTGCGATAGTGGAGAATACTCGAGGCAATCGAGGCAGTCGAACTCTCAGCATCACCGCCCAGAGTTGAATCCAAGTCGCTGTCGCGTACTTCCTGTTGAAGCCAGTACTCGCCCCCAAAGATGCCAATCGGCTCGGACAATTCAGCGGCGGCCGTGGGCGATCCAGGAGTGGAAGAGCTTTGAGCGGGAGACGCGGGATCAGGCGTCGGCGTCTTGGTTTTTGGCATGGTAGAGGCCGGGGGTTCAGCTGCCGGCGACTCGGCCTTCCTTTTCGCTGGAGTTCTAATAGCTGGAGTCGTCCCTTAGGCCCAAGATATCTACTTTTGGATGGTATGAAGGAAAAGGTTGACGTGCCAGATGAGAGTTGGTAAGAGAGGAATGCGTGGCATCTTCAGTCCTTTGGAACTTAACCTCTCTAACCACCCAGAGTAACCTCGATTACAGGGGCACTGAGGCCCTAATTCAAGTTAGGAAGCTCATGCATGCCGCCCAGGGCGTATTTGGCTCGGCTGTGAGGCCCTCATGAAGTTTTCGAGCTGCCACTGCAAAGCGCTCGCTTTCAAGTGGAAACCCCGTCCAGAACGGATACATTTTCTCGACGACGCTGAATGTTAGGACCGTAACGATCATGGTCAGGACAGTGAAATAACACGAAACATTATTTTAGTCACATCAATTCACAGTCGACGAGTGACCAAACAGCCGCTATCAAAATATCTCCAAACCTCCGAGTTGGGTTCTCTGATAATTTCTTCCGCTTAGGGTGACATTCGACCCATGTCATTGGCAGGAAAGGCGGGTTGCTCTGCATCCCTACAAGAGAAGGCTCTGGGCACGCTGATTTTGGGCTATAACAATGCAGTTACACTTCTGGGAGAGAAACTTTAGGGATCACATACTTACGACGGTTGCACCATCCAACGCTCAAGCCTATCACCATGCCTTCCATTCTCCTGAACACGAATTGCTTCTTCTGAGCGCATTCCCGGCAACTAATAATGGTCTAGAACGCACCCCAAAAGGATTTTTAGAGGTTAGCAGTGAACTAAGGGTCACACGTCGTAAGTTCCAGCTGCGTGGAGAGCATATAATACAGTGTATAAACAAAACAAAGCCAATGACAAGCAGTCAGCTCTTCTCACATTTAAGCCCATTCGGTTACAGCTCTCCATCCTGTCGTTGTAGCAGGCTGGCGATATCGGAAACCCGATGAGAAACGTGGTTCAAACCCGTGCAAAGCTTGTCATGCCGCCTACACATAGGACGGCAATCACATTGAGCAAAACATCTCCAAACGAAAGACCCAGCCCGTCAGTTCCCATTGAGGCAACCACTCCTTTCACGACAAATGGGCTCCAGGTTCGCTTCTCTATTTCCTTGATCAATCACTTGGTTCATCAATCAACCAGGCTGCTGGCATCCAATTGAATTCCGCCATTTTCCAATCCGCCATCGGACACAAGGGATTACCAACAACCCTTGATATACATGCGGGCGTATAGGTACTATGGAGCGGGCATTGCACAGCAGCTTCCATTTGTTCGAGGCCACAAATTGTTGCTTCCGTACGAGAATCGGCAGAGTTGGAAGTCAAACCTTGCAAATGTAGGTTGCTGTGTTGCGCATACGAGTGTACTTGCATGCCCTCACCCGTGATGTCCGCTTTAGATCAACAACTGCTTGAGTGTCTTTCCATATCTGCAGTCGCGATGCTGTTCCATGATACAATACTATGGGACGTGCACAGATGAGTATTTTCAAGGCTGTTCTCCCTACGGCAATTGATTCACAAACTGGAACTGGAAGAGACTTGCTGACTTGTGCATTGGCTGTCTGCGGCTTTCGTGGAAAGCGAGACAAAGGCCGACACACTGAGTGGCTTATACGGAGGCAGTAATGATTGCTGAGTGATATGCACGGCAACCACTTCTTGTCAGCACACTTACACTGACTGACCTGGAATGACTGCATCGTCACCAACTCCGACACCATCACTCCACTTCACCGTCACAAAGGCTCATGATCCAACAATTGCTTCCGATTCGACTTGGCCAAGCACAATCGGTAGTACGGACTTTCTTGGTTTTCGGTCCCGATCACCAAAGCCACCGAGAATGCCTTTCCTTTGATGTTTCCAGAGGAGGTCACGCACCGTTCCGTTACATCCAGGTGTGTGGCAGAGCGCGGGCGGACATTGTGGCGTGGCCTCGGCAAAGAGCGTGGGGTAACGTGGCGTTGGTGCGCGGTAGGCGATGCTTGAAGTCCCCCAACTTCGTCTCATGTTGGAAGACAAAAAGACAGCCGAAGACAAACAACCGATAAAGCTATAAGCGAATGTATATCGTCCCTATTAACCGGGACGCGCGCGTACAGAGAGGCACGTACATGTTTGTCTGTTGAATGGTCGTCGGTTGGTCGTTTTCAGCCAGCCCATCAGCCCGCAAGCATGGTTTTTTGCGCCGTCTGTCGTCCTGTCTTGTCTTATTGACCATCACCTCAAACAGCTGAGTTCGCATGCCCGTTTTCTTTTTGCCTGAATTGCGCCTTGTTTCGGTTGGTGAAAACTGTTGTTTTACATAGCGCGGTGGTTTCCAACTCCGGTTGTTGTCTCGCTCCAGACAGGCAGGCTACGAGGTCGCTTCATGGCAGGTTTGTATCACAAAGACACTTTCCAGACGCTAAAACCATGGTGTGTTGTCAGTCAGAATACAATCAAAATAGGCACATGATTCGACCATCCAATTTTCCCGACTGACCCGAACCTGAACCACCCATCACTCGGCGCACTCGGCGCACCCAGCGGCGCGCATTGATGGCCATGGAGACTCTGCCCCCCGTAAGTAACCCACAGGGGCCTTTGTGGCGCGCGCATGGTCCGTCGACAAAGCCGATATCCCCAGGTCTATGATCCATCGATGGATTCTCATCCACACCGACCCCGACCCTTACGAAAGAGGTTTGCCCCAGCCCAGTCACTCATACGCAATGCTGACTGGAACGATAGACCGCGCGTGTGCTCATCGAGGCTCGGGTCATTCAAGCTCCAATGTGACCCAGTCGGAATGAATGGCCAGGCATGGACCGTCGTCGTCGGTGGTCTTCAGTGTTGAGTGGTGATGATTTGTTCAAGGATGGCTTCAGATCGATGCCGGTTGGGACGAGATGAACCCCGCGAATTTGAGCGTCTGTGGTGAGGCGTCGGATATGGAAGGCCATTCACCAACTCCATATTTCCAAGGCATCCACGAAACCACCCGCTTCAAACTCTGGCCTGCCCGCGACGGTTTCTGAGTGTGGGGAGACGGGGAAACACCAGCGAGTTGGACACCAACGTGGACACCGGCGCCGTGCGTGTTGATCGAAGGCTCCGCGAACTGCCTTAGTGGCTGTACGGTCCGTGCACTCCATTATGCCTTCTATCAGTTTATGTCTGCTGGAGGCATAACCAAGGCTCTTTACACATCGCTCGACGGGTGATTGCCCCTCCCTTTACCTTACGGCTGAGCATCAAGGTCAAACTTGGTTTCTTACCCGACTCCTCTTCATATTCGGGGGCCGCCTCTGGCTATTGATGCGTGTGTGGTGTTAGGCGCTCCATCTGGCACATCTAGCAGTTGGCAGGCTACGTATGCATGCTTCACGCAACTTGCACTGGCAACCCGACATATCGCCTACCTACGCCCAAAGCAGATTTCAAACAAGATGTTGGATAGGACATCACATTTGCGGTATCATGAGAGTCTGTATACATACACCCTGCTTGTTCCACATCTTCGAGCCGGTCGTGATGTTGGTCAAGCAGGATTCGAAGCAGTGAGTAAGGCTGTGTGTGAGAGCGATATTCTTGGGGGGCGGGTGAACTGTGGCTTCATGGCTTCCTCAGATGACACCAAAGATGCAGGGCATATGCTCGTCCCTGAAGGTCATCATCAGTCAAGGCTGTTGTGACGAATGTAGTGCTTAATTTTGATGCTGTCGTGCTGGAGTTTTGACTCGGAAATAGCCTCTTGGATCGGCTCTAGCTCGCTGGACCGGAGAGAGTTTCGGATACATGTGATGTATTAGGGGTGAAGCTTTGCAATCAAGCGAAATGGTGATGGCTTGGAAGTGACGTTGGCAAGGACCCAGAAAGGCCTCAATCAAAGATGACAAGCAGTTCATAGAGCCCGGGCGGTAAGCCCATGCCAACAATCTTCTACAACCTCCCGTCCAGTAAGTGCGATGTGTGAAGGATAGCATCGGCGGCTTTCGTGTGTGACTTGCCTGTTCCCTTCCACAGACAAACAGTGCAGTACGGGAAAGTGGTGTCCATCAAATCCACCCGCCACTTCCAAGACACTATCCCTCAAAGCAGTGGCCCGCCGAAAGAGTTGCAAACAGAATATCACCTTGATAGCCCTGCTAGATCATATCGAGACCAGCCAGCAGGACACGGCATCCATTGCACAAAGTGAAAGATTCTTGTGCTCATCACGGGCACGACGGACGAGCAAGCATCCATGTTCCTCATGTTCGAGACCACCGAGAGACCAAAGAGAAACCCGAGCAGGCATGGGAGGCGAACCGACGACGATGAATACCGTAACAAGGCTCCGCCGGGAGGTTATACGAGCCACATGACTGACGTGACTTTGGGAGGTTCCAAGTCGAGAAAGAAGTTGCCGTCTGTTGCCGAATCGAAGATTCAATGTACGAAAAAGGGGGAGAATATTGGCGTATTGATGAGGATGGGATGTTGATGTTACGCAGTGCGGACTGCGGCACATAACAATTCACGGCGACGCATTTGCTAGCATTTACCAGCATTGGTAGGCATTGTTAGTGCTGGGTCTAGTTGCTGGGAGGATGGAATGCGCCGTCAAAGTGGAATGAGTGAGAAAAAGAGAGAGAGAGCCGGCCCGTCGAGCGAATCAATGGCCAATGTACCACAGTAAACCTGGGCACTCCGGCGGGCGGTAGCGACACCACTGCAATGTCCGGCCGCTCGGCGGCTGTCCACCATCATAGAAGTATCCTCCACCGGGTCCACCTTGCCGTGCCCGTCCGCGTCACTTGACGATGGGGCGCGCGCGGGTGGGCGGGCGGACGCTCCATTTGAGATTTCGTGAGAGGCCATCCACACATGGAGCCCATGCAGCTTGCAGTTGGAATTTGGAAAGACCGGCCCTTTGCAACTCGCTCGGCTGCTTTTTTTCTTGTTGGAGCTGGGGATCCCATCCCGACCGCT